GGAAAAGGAAAAGGAAAAGGAAAAGGAAAAGGAAAAGGAAAAGGAAAAGGAAAAGGAAAAGGAAAAGGAAAAGGAAAAGGAAAAGGAAAAGGAAAGCATCATTTTGAGGGTGAAAATGTTTTAGATGATTGACTACTTGATAAGCTTACACAGCTCCAGCACGGATTTTGCCGTTCAAATGAGAAGCAAAGCATCCTAACAGCACCCACGACACAAATCATGGGTTGTCTGGCGAAAACTGAACAACTTCATGCGCAACAACATCTACAAGGTAGAGCTGTTAAAGCAGACCCTCATTCTCCTCCACCACACTTCCGAAATTGCATGTGGTCAGCGTCTCTAAACTCATGCCGAAATACACAGAAAGAATGCCGGGTTCTTGACAAAGATATGCTCCCCTCAGATACATGCTGAGGGGGTGGGGAGCTGTCAGTGTTACAAGGACATGCGTAGGGCCGGGACAGAGATTCTAAGACGGGCTGCAGGCATTGGGCATAGTGTGACCCCCCTCGCTGCCAGTCAAAGGCACTGAGAGACCAGAAATTGCCCAGCCGGTGCTGCAGGTGAGCTCACCTGCCGACGGAGAGCCAGGGCAGCCCGGCCGATGCTCTCCGGAGAGGAGCGCTGCCAGCCTGGGCACAGCCCGGAGTTSGCGGCACGCTCCCTTTGGAGTCCGCGATGCGGTCCCGGGAGGTGCTCCGGCGGTGCGGAGCGGCCGCCTCTCCCCGTCCCGGGCAGCGGAGCAGCTCCCGCAGCCGCCCCGGCACAGGGGGAGACCCTGCCCGAAGCCGTGGCACCGCSGCTGCCGTCGGCGCAGGGGCGCGGGGTGCCCGGAGCGGCCGCCGCCCGTACCTGCTCTGCCCCTCGTCGGTGTAGCGGATGAGGAAGAGCCCGTCCAGATCCTCCTCCAGCCGGCCCTGGAAGCTCAGCTGCAGCATGTAGCGGCGCCCGGCCCGGAGCCGGCCGCGGAGCTCCAGCACCGCCACCTCGTCCGCCTCCTCCAGCCGCAGCCCCGCCACCTCCACGGCGGCGCCCGGCTCGGACAGGGGACCGCGCACGGCGGCGACACCGCGGCTCCGCAGCCCCGCGCTGTGCAGCACCGCCGTGTCCGTGTCCTGCAGACAGCGCACTGTGATGTTCACCTGCCCGGTGAAGGCGAAGGGCCCCTCCTGGCCCGGCCGCACCCGCGGCCACAGCTCCAGGTCGTAGTGGAGCGGCAGGAGGTGGCGGGGCAGGCGGCGGACGGAGCCGGCGGCCGGAGCGGGCGGCGGAGGGGCGGCGGGGCCGGGGGAAGCGGGCGAGGGCGGCGGCGGCGCTGCCTCCTGCCGGCAGCGCCCGTAGAGAGCGGCGAGCGCCAGCAGCGCGACCAGCAGCGCCAGCAGCAGCGCGGCCCCCACCGCCGCCGCCCTCCGCCCCACGTACAGACCCCCGCCCCGGCTCCCCATCCCCGCTCTGCGCCCCGACGGCCGCGGCCGCCGCTACTTACGGGGCGGGGGAGTGAGCGCCACCGAGGGCGGGACGAGCGGCCGAGGGCAGTCGGGTTCCCCCCCGTCCCGGAGAAGCTTCTCCGCCAAGGGCTGCCCCCATCTCGTCTGCCTCAGCAGCCTGCGGGGCAAAAGCGACGGCGGGCATCCCAGCAGCCGCTCCTCAAGTCCGAGCGAGTGAACGTTCCGGCGGCGGCGGCGGCGGGAGATGCTGGATGCCCAGGACCGCCCGGGATGAGGAAAACGGCGCTGCCCGGACAGACGGAACGGCCCCGGGGTGGTCCCGGCCGTGTCTCAGCGCAGGACGGCGGCTCGGGGCTTCAGAAAGCCCCGGTACAAGAGGCGGCCGTCGRGCCACAGATGGGGGCTCCCCATGCACCGTCCGGAAAAATAAAGGAAATCCCAAACTTACAAACATTCCTAYGTCTTTCACCATGATGGCAAGAAAATGGGTCACTGAGGTGTGCAAAGTGTTGTGGTTAGAGCTGATCTCTTCTCCAGGGAAATCTACATGTCAGAAGATCGAGTCTGCAAAGTCTTCGGTTCATAAAGGCACGCCAACGTGAGTTTTTAAAAAACATCCTCTTTTAGAGCCCCATTTCCCTGCGTAGTTCAGTTGAGGGCATAAACATCACTGTGCTGTCCATACATAGTTAATTAACCCTATCACAATCAATAGGATTAATCCCGTGTTTCCAGTTAAACACATACTTAAAGAGTTTACCAGTTTGGGCCAGGCTGCCAGCCAAATAGCAAAATGAAACCTTGTAAAATTTGCCTGGTGTTTTTTCTCAGTTGCTGCTCTTTTTTAACATCATGATGAGCTGTGCATTAACGATAGCAGAAGCCAGGAACAATGGCTCCTAAGTGTCATTGCCTCAGACACTTTGTAATTTGGATTATGAGCAGGGTCTCCCCCTCCTTCCTTTTTCCCCCTTTCTTTTTATTTACTTCCAACCAACACACAGCCCTGCATTGCCTTGAACCCAAGACAATTTCCTGGGGCCTGTAGTCCCACAAGAGCCACCTTCAACACCAAACATTTCTGTTGGCAAAATGGAGGTGTTGGATTAGGTATTACAGTCCGCTTTGTCACCAGAGTTAAAATTCACCCCCATGGCTTAACTCTAGAGGTATCTTCAGCTAATTTAGTTGTTAATTGAGAGAGGTAACTTTTCCTGTTGTCCTGTACAGAGCACAGGTGTTGCTTTCCACATGCTGGGTGCAGCAGGGCTGGCTGTTACWGCTCTAGGGAATAGCTCTGAGCCACTGCACTATGAGAATTCCCCGTTCCAGCAGAAGACTATAATCTGCTATCCTGTCACTCAAGGGATGTGGGAGCCCCTCTGACAGCCTGTTCCCTGCATCTCTCCCGCTCTTCTTGCCTCCTCTGCTGCCTGCCCCAATGCCCTTTCTGCTGTTGCCCATTAGGTTCACAACGTGTTGCCTTCTGTTGCTGGCTCGTCCACCTTCCTGTTTTTTTTCCACACAGCTTGACTTGTACATTTCTGTTTCCATGCTTCTTTTCTCATTTGGTTTTCATTTACTCCAGTCCTCCCCACCCATACCCTTTGACTTTTTTCTGTTCCTCTGATTCAGGCCTCTGCCCTCTTTCCACTTAACTTACCATTCTTGCACATGCCTCACATAACTTTACTCTTTATCTTGCACATCTGCAGCCCCTCCTTTTTCTCCTAGCATGTTTTGCAATATCTATCATATTGCTCTCCTGTGAAGACCTTACAATAAACTCCAGCCAACTTCTTGGAGGTTGCTGATCTGCAGCCCTGAACTGATTGCCCTCCAGCATGTCACTTTACAGCTTTCAGAGAAAAAACTATTTGAGTGTTTTGGAAAGTATCTTTTCCTTCTTATTGACATTGTAAGTTTAGGAAACCGTTTGTTGCACCAGTCCAAAATGTTGCTCCATCCCATGGAAGCACCGATACATTAGGGAGACTAGGTAAGAAGAATGGGCTMCCAGAAAGATCAGAATAGCAAAGACAGCTCTGCAGAGAAGGACATGATGGGAAGAAGAGAATAGATACCACAGAACATTATGGATGAGTTCCATGTCCTGTTTTTTAAATTGTTTTATTCATCCTCAACGCTGTTCAGTAAAGCCATTCTCACCCACTCAACTCCTCAAAACAAGGCACAGGCGAAATTAAAACTGAGGCATTTCATTCCATATCTGTGAAAACAAGCAGAACTTCTCAGTGATAAGTAAGTGTGCAGACCCTGTGGGAAGGTTGCCCTTATTAGCAATGTGTAATATGTTTCAAAGTTTACAGTTCGTGTCTGTAAAACACACTTTATTTTCTCTTCTGTTCAGTGGAGAATTCAAACCTGCTACTTTCCTCCATCMACACATAATAAACCCACAACAGTTATGATTCAGAATAAATGTTTTAAGAAGTGTTGATTAACTACCTTTTCCTCTCAATTTATAATCTCACAAATGGGTGAGAGGCTTYTGGGTGGGTGATGGGTGAAGGCTTTTCCCAGCCCACCACTGGGCATTCCCCTCCTGGTGGGAACACATATACCATGGAATGTTAGAAATGGGAAAACTGTTTGCATGCAGTACAAAACATGTGAGTAGCTTCTGCTGCAAATATTACAGTTCATCCCTTCAGCTGAACTTTGCAAAGCTGAGACATCTTAATGACACAGATCTGGAGATGAAGATGCAGGAAGCCCTAAACAAGACAGGTACCCTGACCATGGCAAGCGAGGCATGTTTTTTTTTTTTTTTTTTATTCAGGCCATAGCACAGATAAAATCCTGACCTTGGACAGAAGCAGAAGGCCTGTATTTAAATCAGGAAAAAAAAAAGCTCTAATAAATACCTAAAGGTAGAAACAAATCATCGGTTGTGATAGAAGTCAAACAGTTCAGTTGCTTTGAAGAACACCAAAGCATCTGACAAACTTTACTGTCTTGTTTTAGGTGATGAGGTCTGTGCCATGCTCACCAGCTGCTCAAAGTCCTACTGGTGTCCACTAATTTTGGGACACGTGACAGCACACAATCYACTATGAAGGTGCAAGAAGCTAAACAACACTTCCTGTGGTAGCTAGTCAGGAAATTCGACACATTTCAAGTAGCAAAATATTACAGTGACCCTCCCCTAAAGTTTGTCAATATTTTAAATTTAATAGTATTGCTTTCATAAAAATTATTGCAATAGCATCATAAATCATATGTGTTGAATGCCAAGAAAAAGGACAACCACATGTTTAAGCAATGTAAAATAATTTTCATGCTGAAAGATGATTCCCTAAATCACATTCTTAGTGATCTCAACCAAATTTGAGAATGAATGWTGGTTTATATGGCAATTCCAACATTCAGTCAAGGGTGATCAGCACTCCTAAAACTTTGTTTTTTATAGATCTGATCATGTTTCTTCTTCAGGTTTTGGGGAGGTGCCTGATCTCTTCTGTATTTACGAGCTCAGAACTTCTAGGCATGAAGAATCCATGTGCACAGCAAAATTCCCCCTCCCCCCCCCCCTTTTTTTAAAACTTGATCTGCTCATTTCAAACAGTGTAATTTGCTCTGCATCATTTATTCTCCTTTAACAATAATGTTAAAGATGCCTGGGAGCMTCTGTGGCAGGAGCTACTTCATAGAAGATGCTGAAGCTGCAAACTTTCACCGTGGCTCTGAAGGTCTGAATAAATGGATACTTCAGGATGTGTCACAGCCATCTGGAGTAGGAAGAGTGAGCTACAGGTGGACATGCACAGTCAGAATAGCTGCAAATAAGTTTTATACAGATGAATAAAGTCTGAGCACCTGAGAACCTTATCTTCTGTCTGGACATGGTAAAGAAGTTCCCGGCTTTCTTATGCAATCAGGATGAATATTTTATGGCACTTTTCATGGAGTATGTATCTTCAACATCGAACTCAACACAAGTGATACATGCTACCAAATACCTAGAATTAGTCTTGAAATAATGGAGTTTTCTTACCCTATTAAGAAAAAMAAAATCCAACAAACGAAACCAAATCAATAACAACACAATACAAACAAACAAGCAACCCAAACAAGCTAAAAGCAAACCCACCACCAGACTCTGTTTSTCTGTGTCTGTCCTCAAGAGATTTTGTACACTCCTGGTACAGAACTGACAGTGGATATAAAGTTTACAAGTTGTCACAGCAACAACTGAAGGTGGATTTGTATTTGTGTTGGCAAGACTGTCTTAACTGGCCTGTACAGYGCAATACAGAAAGACAATGTGGAGAAGACTTCCAATAAAAATTGATCAAATTTGACCAAACATTTCAGCTGCAATATCATCAAAAAGCATGCAACTGAAAACTCTAGTTAATGGTTTTGAGTGAGGTGTCATTGTGTGGTGGTGACTACGAGCAAATAAAGTGCTTTTACCACAGTAAGTTGTACATCTAATTAAAAAGTTGTAGGTAGGAAAGCATGCTTGAAATACTGCCCTTATTGGTAAGGATGTATGATCTGTAACATGGATATTTTTTCACCTGTGCTTTAATGAAAATATATTCCTTGRTGTTTCAAACTGACAGACCACTGAGGATCCTCTGTCATGAAGACAACAGAGCCATGCAAAAATTTGCTCATAAACTCTGTTCTTGTTTGRTGGACCAGGTGTGAACTGCTAACCAGGGTCTTGCTGACTCTCTCTGCAGATCCATGTAYGACTGAGATGGTTTGGATCTTCAGAGCAAAGGGTAGGTAGGAGCAACAGTTCTCACCACCGGAGCAAAAACAGACACTGGAGCAAAACCAAGCTATTTCTTTGGGTATTTCTGCTTGTGGAGGACAACATAATAGTCCCTAAAAGGTATGGGTAAAATAGAATAATGACAAATCATATAAGTGGGGGTTGACAAAATGACCARTGTGTTCAGTGAGCAGAGGCACCGTGCTGAAGGCTCCCTCCAAAGAGCTGAGGGCACTCAAAGGAGCCAGAGAGAGCTGCAGCC